AGCCAGCACGGCGGGCAGCGCTCCACCCCGCTCATCATCGCCGCCCGCAACGGCCACACCAAGGTGGTCCGGCTGCTCCTGGAGCACTACCGCGTGCAGACCCAGCAGACCGGCACGGTCCGCTTCGACGGGTACGTAGAGGTCCGTGGGCACGTGGAGCTCAATGGGTACATAGAGCTCCATGGGTATGTGGAGCTCAGTGGTTATGTGGAGCTCGTGGGTACGGGGAGCTCAGTGGGTACATGGAGCTCCATGGGTACGTGGAGCTCAATGGGTATGTGGAGCTCGACAGGCACGTAGAGGTTGGTGGATACGTAGAGCTTGACGGGTATGTAGAGCTCCATGGGTACATAGAGCTTGACAAGTACGTAGAGCTCGAGAGTATGTAGAGCTTGACATGTGCGAATTGCTCCATGGGTAGGTAGAGCTCCGTGGGTAGGTAGTGCTCGACAGGTACGTTGAGCTCGATGAGTACGTAGAGCTCCGTGGGTAGGTAGAGCTCCATGGGTATGTGGAGCTCGACGGGTACGCAGAGCTCCATGGATACGTAGAGCTGCACAAGTACGTGGAGCTCGAGGGTATGTGGAGCTCAACAGGTACGTAGAGGTTGAGGGTACGTAGAGCTTGACATGTGCGAAGAGCTCGACGGATTGGTAGAGCTCTGTGGGTAGGTAGAGCTGCATGGGTATGTAGAGCTCCATGGAACGTGGAGCTCAAGGGTACATGGAGCTTTAGGGGTATGTAGAGCTTGATGAGTATATAGAGCTCTACAAGTACATAGAGCTTGATGGGTACGTAGAGCTGCATGAGTATGTAGAGCTTGACAGGTACATAGAGCTGGATGAGTATGTAGAGCTTGACAGGTATGCAGAGCTCTATGAGTATTAAAGCTCGATAGGTATGTGGAGCTCAATGGGTACGTAGAGCTGGTTGAGTATGTAGAGCTTGACAGGTACATAGAGCTTAATGAGTTCATCAAGCTCGTTGCCACCTGGCACTGACCCAGCCAGAAACCAGTGTTGGTACCGGCATGACACGAGGGCTCAGGACCCCACCAGTCCCCTGAATGGCATTGGGCAAGGTGCTTTATTAGCCATAAAAATCCTTTTGCTGTTTGAGATCCCCCACCTGATGTTTTATGAGCCATAAGTGCCTTTGTCCTTTCGAGATCCCCCCACCTGAAACTGTAGATGGAATAATATTCGCTGCAGTCTAGAGAACTCCTCGCTGAGGTGAGCAGGTCACCTTGTATTCTTTCCCGCTCTGCTATAATGGCCTTTTCTATGACATCACTTGCTTCCACAGGTGACAGCGGGCACTGGGTCAAGGTAGGATGATACCTGCACACCACCAGCCAGGTCTTTGTTTACTCAAACTGAGGGATTTCCAGTGTCCAGCCCAGACATCCCAAGTAACATCCCTTCCTTGTCACAGGGAGCCAATGTATGGGTTGGCCAGGAGAGAAGTGTGACATTTTAAGACAGGAAGGGAAGAAAGGGAGGGCAGGGGGTGCCTGGCCCTCAGCTGGGACCTGCCTGGGGCAGCGATGTTGATGCTGCTATCTGGGGAGGAGAACATTTCCAACAGTGTGGTTGCAGAAGAAAAGAGGAAGGATGTTTTTAAAATCTCCCAGAGCACTTGTGAAGTTCTTTGTGTGTGAGTCTGAAACCTAAAGCTGACTGATCGTGAAGGCAGATTGGTCCTGAGCAGCTTCAGGTTTTGCAGGTGGCTTGTAGAGGGAGGAGAGCTCACATCAGATACTGTGCCAGAGGGATGGCAATGGGTCTCCCTGCTGATATCTTTCATCTGGCTCCTACTTGGTGAGCTGGAGTTATGCCTGTGCAGCTCCACCTGGCCCAGGGAAAGTTCTGGCATGGTTCTTACATGCCAAATGAAAGGGGAGGAACCGACTTCCCCATGTGGTTGGTTTTTTTTTCTTTCTTCCTCTTCTCTTCCAGCCTTTTTTTTTTTTCTCCACAAGAAAAACTGGTTGAGAATACCTGGGCTGAGGTTTGCCCCAGATTTAGTTAAAGGGCTGTCACCCCCCTTCTGCAGCTGAATTTTCTCAAGCTGTGCCTTGATGGGATGGTGATCTGCTTGCCAGAGCCTCTGCCTGGCACAGATTAAAGGAGTTGTTGTCTGAGGCACAATGGGTGCAGTGGGAGTCACAGCCTGGCCAGAAGACAGGAGACATGTGATCCTGCTGTTATCATCATTCTTCTTGAGATAAGGCAGCTCAGCAGCTCTGCTTGTTTGGATTCCAGGCTTCTGACTTATAAAAAACATCCCTGTAGTGCACCAATAGATCACTTTGTGTTCATTAACAAATCCTAGGCTCTGACTTTCCTCCTCTTTTAATAGAAAAGTATTTTAATGTGATTATTTACAAAATAAGGAACGTCTTACTGCGAGTAAAGGTGCAGACATCTCTGCGTGCCAGAGCTGTTAAATGGTCTCTGAAATGTTGTTTAGAGGTGTTGGATTTACAAACAGCCACACAGCTATTCCTGTTGAGCTACGTGAGAGCTTCATAAAATGATAAAAATCGCTGTTAAAATTAAGTCGGTGTCTTCTGCTATTTTAACTTTGGGAAACGTGACTGTTTGGACATATGGAAATAAGATATTTGTCCCTCTGTGATTTGGGATGTGCCTTGAGTGTGTATTAACTGCCGTGTGAATGCTGCCTGGTTCTACATTCAAGTGCTACTTCAAAAGTCAGGGGCATGGAAAGGACATCAGCCTTTACCTTTGTCCTTACACAACTGTGCTGGATTTGGCCAGGAAAATGAGTTTAAGAAACTGTGATGCTTTTACTGAAGTTAACTGTCCCCTCGTTTAGTGCCAGCGAGCTGATTTACCTCGTAGTCTACGAGGCCATGATGTAAACCAGACCTCTGAAACAGTCCAGCTCAGAAAAACTTCTGCTTTGTTTTTTTTTTTTTTTTTTTTTTACATTTTATTTTGTTCCTGGAGTTCCACTCGTGTAACCAGACTGCTGCTCTGGTTTGTGGTGCAGTCTGTCGAACAAGAAGTGTTGATGCAGTAGAAGTGGTGGCAATTTTGCAGCTCAGGGAGAGAAAACCAGTGAAGTGATGCAGGATTCTTAAGCCAGCTTTGCTGGGAGGGCTGGTGTATTGCAGAGCTGTGCTGTTGTTCATGTCTGAGTTTGGGGGTTTTTTTGTGTCGATATGTTGATTTAAAGTTTTCTCTCTTTAATGAGTCAGTTTCTGGCACAAGAAGCGGTAATTCTTGTAACTGTTCTTCTCCAGACCTCTGTAGGCTGAGGGCTGGAGCTTGCAGGGAGGATCTTTCTTCAAAGCAGCCCAGGAAGTACTAGAGCAAAATGTGACTAAATTCCCTTGTTGCTGGGAAGGTGTCCCTTCTAGTGGAAGGTGTCCCTGCTGATGGCAGGGGGGTTGGAACTGGATGAGCTTTAAGGTCCCTTCCAACCCAAACCAGTCTGGGATTCTATGAAGTGTCAACTTCCAACGCTTCTTTCTTTGGGAGGTCTGTTGGCTTGATAAGTCTCCCATTCTTTTACCTTGGCTACCCTGGTAAATTCCTTCAAGTACAAAAATAAGATGGCTAGAAAATATCTTTTACTGGCTGGGTAGGTAAGTGCCTGTCTCATACTGCTGGATGTAAAGCTGCTGTTGAATGAGCGTTGGGTTTAACCCCTTGTTTCTGTCTTTACCATTTTTAGCTTCGTCATTGATGGAGCCACAGCTCTCTGGTGTGCAGCAGGAGCCGGCCACTTTGAAGTAGTCAAATTGTTGGTGAGTCACGGAGCCAATGTGAATCACACCACAGTGACCAATTCCACTCCTCTGAGGGCTGCGTGTTTCGATGGCAGACTGGACATTGTGAAATACCTGGTAGAAAACAATGCCAACATCAGCATTGCCAACAAATACGACAACACCTGCCTGATGATCGCGGCTTACAAAGGTCACACGGACGTGGTGAGGTACCTCCTCGAGCAGCATGCCGATCCCAACGCCAAAGCCCACTGCGGTGCCACGGCCTTGCACTTCGCGGCTGAAGCTGGTCATTTGGAAATCGTGAGGGAATTGGTCAAGTGGAAAGCGGCGATGATGGTCAACGGCCATGGGATGACTCCGCTGAAAGTCGCTGCCGAGAGCTGCAAGGCTGACGTGGTGGAGCTGCTGCTCGCTCACGCCGACTGTGATCGGAGAAGCCGGATTGAAGCTCTAGAACTTCTAGGTGCCTCGTTTGCAAACGATAGAGAAAATTATGATATAATGAAGACTTACCACTATTTATATTTAGCCATGCTGGAGAGGTACCGAGACAGCGAGAATATAATTGAAAAAGAAGTTCTTCCACAAATTGAAGCTTATGGAAACAGGACTGAATGCAGGACTCCTCAGGAATTAGAGTCTATTAGGCAGGACAGAGATGCCCTTCACATGGAAGGCCTCATTGTACGAGAAAGAATTCTGGGCTCGGACAATATTGATGTTTCTCACCCCATTATTTACCGGGGGGCTGTTTATGCAGATAACATGGAGTTTGAGCAGTGTATCAAGCTATGGCTCCATGCGTTGCATCTAAGGCAAAAAGGCAACAGGAACACTCATAAAGACCTCCTGAGGTTTGCTCAAGTCTTTTCTCAGATGATACACTTAAACGAGCCCGTTAAAGCCAAGGACATCGAGAGCGTCCTGAGGTGCAGCGTCTTGGAAATAGAACAAGGTATGTCCCGCATCAAAACCACCCAAGACTCTGACATGCACACAGCCATGGACAACTACGAATGCAACATTTTCACCTTTCTCTACTTAGTCTGCATCTCTACCAAGACCCAGTGCAGTGAAGAGGATCAGTCACGAATCAACAAACAGATTTATAACTTGATTCACCTCGACCCCAGAACTCGGGATGGCTCCAGTTTGCTGCATCATGCTGTCAATTCCAGCACACCGGTTGATGACTTCCACACGAATGATGTCTGCAGCTTTCCTAACGCACTGGTCACCAAACTCTTGCTAGATTGTGGTGCTGACGTCAACGCTGTGGACAACGAAGGAAACAGTCCTCTCCACATCATTGTCCAGTATCACAGGCCCATCAGTGACTTCTTGACCTTGCATTCCATCATCATTAGCCTGGTGGAGGCTGGTGCTCATACAGACATGACGAATAAGCAGAAGAAAACCCCTCTTGATAAAAGTACAACAGGGGTGTCTGAAATACTCCTAAAAACTCAAATGAAGCTGAGTCTCAAGTGCCTGGCTGCCCGAGCAGTACGCATCTATAACATCAACTACCAAAACCAGATCCCCAGAACTCTGGAAGAATTTGTGAAGTTTCATTAGGCTACATAAAATCTTTCGTGGTGGTGCTATCCCGGGATGACATCAATGCAGACAGCAGAATACATCTGTATACATGGAGTTGTTTTTCCTCTGTTCTTTTTTTTTGGGGGAGGGGGAGGGAGGTTCCTCAGGATTCAGTCTGCAGCCTCGGTTCTCAGGCAGATCTTGAGAGGGGCAGGAAAAAAAACCAACCAAACAAAAAAAGCCACATTGTTTTCCTGTAGTCAAATCAGATGTTTGAGATTTTGGTCATTTCTTTTGTTTCTGTAAACAAAATGAAAAGCATCCCAACGTAATTTGTGCAGAATGTTTTTGTTTCTGATACACATCTCCACTTACTTTGGTTTGCAGCCAAATGTTTTAGGTCTTTATTTACAAAAGCACCTCTGGAAGCCCGTGTCACCCCGCTCCTGCTCAAATTTAACTTGGCAAATTTTAAAACTTCTTGGAGTGAGGTAGGAAAGAATAATTGGGAATTACGTGGTAGTTGGATAACAGTGAAATCTCAACATACAGAGCAGATCCAGTGCTCTCATACCTCACCATCTTTTTTATGCCTTTCAGTTAATGCTGAAGATGTTGGTAACACTTCAAAATTTTTGGCTTTTTCAATTAAATTTTGATCAGCAGTTATCAACAGCTACAGACGTATGGAATGCTCTGTTAGGAAATACAGGTTTAAAATTCAGCTATGGTATGTTCATCTAAGAATAGTTGAAATATCAAGCTCTTCATTTATACTACTACAGTAAGTATTGATTAACTTTTGAAAAAAAGGAACTTGCACATTGACTGGAAGGAATCGGAATCATGGTTTCATTTTATGTAGCTGAGTTGCTCATATATAAAGATCATGCATGGATACCTAGAAAATCGATAGGGTATTTGTATTTGTGTGTGTCCCAACATTTCAAAATGCTTTTAAATTTCTTTATTGTTATTGTTGTTGTCGTTTCAATGATCGACATGCACCTTTTTTTTTGACTCAAAACTATGTCAAACTGCACTCTTGGATTCCAAATGCTGTATCTTCCTAATGGAGTAGTCTGTCGCCAAAGAGAGTCTTCCTTTGGAGCGGGATACTGCTTGAAACTGGCTTTTCCAATGAACGTGGAGTCTGTGCCTCCCTGAACTGGACTTGAGGAATTTTTTTTCGTGATTTTTTTTTTTTTTTTTACTCCTTTCATTATGAAAATCTCTATGAAAACTGATTTTTAAAAAATTGTCCTATCATAAAATCTTTTATGATAAGCAAGTGATTGTATAATAACCCTGTTGCTTGAGAAAGTACTTCTCCTTGGTAGAAGTTACAGATACTCCGACAGTAAAATGTCACTTGTTTTGACAGGCTACTGAAAACTCTTGGTTATTTTAAATGCAGCTTTTTAACTGTCAGATGATGAAAGAATGTTCTGCAGGTTTGTTTATTTGTTTGGGGGTTTGTTTTTTTTTTTAAACAATCTGGGTAGAACTTTCAGGCGAGATTTGGGCACACGTTTCTATTTGTATTACAAATAAATAAACATTGAATGTGGAATTACCTTGTAACTCTTTAATTTTTGTCTAGTGCCAAGTGGAATAATGCTGCTTAGATTCTGTGGTGTTGGAAGCACTGGCTGTTGTCTCCTTCAAGGGAAAAGCTTTAGAAATATTGTGTCTTCTAAGCTACAGAGTTTACTCTGCTAGAAAGTAGCTCCTAAGATGAGAAATGCATCAGTCACTTGTATCTCAGGTAGGTTGGACATCAGGAGAAACAGCAAAGCCAAATTCAGCCACCTGGGGTCTTAGTGCAATGAGTGGATGTTGTCAAAGGTTGGGAAGGTGTTAGTGTTTTTGTTGTATAACTGTCAATTGTCAGCCTAAATTGTAATCCTAAATTGAGGAAAAAAAAAATCCTAAATTGAGGTAAATCCTAAGTGAGGAAATGATCTCAAGTTGTGCCAAGGGCAGTTGAGGTTGGATGTGAGGAAGAATTTCTGTAAGAACTTGAGAACATGCACCAGATTATTATTATTGAGCTGGTAAAGTCGCTCAGTTAAAATTAACCACTATATGAATCGAGGTGTTACAAGGAACGAGTCTTGTGTTATATTGTGCCACATGCTTCAAATATTTTCAGTCATGCCTTTGCTGTTCTTTTTTACGCTTGCATATTTATAATTTGTGATGTGTGTGTGTAGTTAAAAATGAAGAGTTGGTGGTTCTTGAGTTTGTCTGTCTTGGGAGAGTGGGGGGAAGGAGGAGAGGCTGAACACTGCTGGCGCCTCATGCTGCTGTATAACAGAGTGTTCTGGATTGGAAATCCTTTCGAGTCACTCTATCATTGATTAAGACATTGATTTCCTTGCACTGTTGGGTTTTGTTGTTGTTGTTGTTGTTGTTCTCAGGATGTGTTCGTGACATGGGGTAACCCAAGTGTTGTGTCCTTGGGAAATACCTGTTTAAAAACCGTTCTTGGAACAAAACTTGCATGCTTGGAATATCTGTAGGTAATAATAAGATGAAGGAAGCCACTCCTCCCACAAATCTGCTTTTTTAATGTGAAAAAAATGTTACAAACAAGGGGGAAAACGGCTTCTTCCTCCCTTCCTGTAGCTTTGTTCTGATCCTTCCCCACTTTTGGCTCCGTTGTGGGGTGTTCACTGAGGTTCTGCTTTGTTCATGCCCATCCTGGGATGATTTCAAGATGTGAAGACCTGAATAGAGAGGATGCTGTTACCCAGAAGCAGCGATAAAACGTCTTGTCAGTGGATTGCAAAGCACTTTATGAGGGGGAAGGTCTGTGCTGTGAAAGGAGCAGCTGCTGCTAAAGCTGCTTCTGTCTCAGGTGTGGTCCTTGATTGTTTTTTTGTTGTCCCAGTTCCTGAAGAAGACAGGTTCCTGCTTGTCTGCAGTCCAGGAAGGTGACATCATGCATGGGCTGTTCCGCCACCTTTGCTATGGCAGGAAAAACTCTTAGGATAGGGGGAAAAAAAACCCCAAAACCAGTGGGTACCTGTTTCTGCACGCCCGCACAGTCCATGGTGGCTCTCAGCATCCCAGGACCTTCCCTCTTCTTAGTTTGGAAATTCCTTTTTCAAGCTTTAAAAGCTGAGTGTGCTGTGAGAATTAGTTAAAGCTCATGATAAAAAAACCCTACAAACCCCACAGGTGCTGCTTTTGCTGGGAAGAAGCTGCGTGACATCCCCTCTGCCAGGGACGAGATGTGTGTGTGTGCCCGTGGGTGGTGACCTGTTATTTATAGAGCTGGCTCAGCACAGAGACCTGCTGGTGGAGAGCAGAGTGGCTTTTAAAAATAGACCTTCCCAAGGTCCACCCACTCTCGATGGGATCCAAACCCTTGGCAAACCTGGAAGTTTGGTCCTCTTGTGCAGAGGGATGTGAGCCCAATGCCCAGGAGGGCATTGCCACCACAGACAGCAGGACCTGCAGTTGACATTTCACTCTTGTCTTTGGGTCAGCTGTGATTAAACCGTGGTCCTTTGGTGGTGGCCAGAGTTGTAGCTGGTCCTGGCATCGTGTGGCTGTGTGAAAATATGAGTTTTTTCACTTATTCCATGGGTGTCTGCATCTGTCTGCAGGCAACTGCTGAGCTCTGCCCCAAAGCCTCAGCTCAGCAAGATGGGGAAAGCACTCAAAGTAAAGAAATTTCTATTCTAACAACAAATAACATTATT